CAGCACTAGCTAACGATGATGAACTGGGATAACCCGATATCAACTTGTCGGTCCCGGTGAACGCGGTGTGCGTCCTCAGGTGGTTAAGAAGTTCTTCGGAGGACGAGAAACGCTTGTCACAAGGTCCATTAGCTGACACCCAGTTACACACATGCGGTAGAGGGTCGTTGGGCAGCACGAAGCCATAGGGATACAAATGGTGTCCACCAAAAGATGGCGGCGAGGAGTGAACACCGTGCAAAGGGTGTGTCGGGTACATGAATTGATATCCGGACTTCAAAGCAGCCGCGGCCGCCGGGTCGTGTGTGCAGGAAGCACCGGCTGCACTGGCTAAGTGGCTGGCACAGTGGTAACTCAAGCAATAAGGGTCCCTACAAAGGCTAGCAGACATTATAGATGGAGGGGATGCCCCGGCTAGGGGGCTTGAGCCAGCTTTACTGCAGCCCAGCGAGCTGGCAAACTGTGCATTGACCAGACTCCCCCCGTGGGGCAGAAAGTGTTGAGGGTAGCCGGCGTAGGCCCCTGCTAAACTTCCAGGGTACGTCATGCCAGCCGGGGGCAGAGGGAAAACAGTCTGTCCGGGTTTGTACGGAGAAACGGGGGCTACCAGTCCTGACCCCAGGACAGAGGATGAGGAAGAAGAGGTGACACACGAGGACTCCGACGTCGCTGCTTTGGATCCTGATGTGGTTTCCTGGTGCTGGTTGACTTCCACGTTAATTCCCGCACAGCTCACGCTTATCCGGCTGTGGCTGACGCTGGTCGGCGCAGATCCATCTGAGGTGCAGTTTTTATTACAATCAGACTCTTTCTTTTCATCTCTCTCTCCCTTCCCGTCTGACGGCATCGGGGAAGCCGAAGTGCTGGAATTCGGGCTGCCAGTCCTGGGAGTGAACGGCTGGCAGGTGGCGCTAGGCACACGGAAACCAGACTTCTCTCCGTTAGACACCCCAGAAGACGAGTCCTTCTTATCCGCTGGCTTGGAGTACGGCTTGAAGCTGGATTTGTCTTCCACACCGATGTCACTCAGTTTTAAAGGACCAGATTTCGACTCTTTCTCGCTAGATCCGTTAGATGAGTGTTTGGAGGAGGGTGGAGGGTCCGGTTTACCGATCTGAGAGCATGTTTGCGCAAGAAGAGCCAGAGGACTTTTCTTGGCATCGAGCTGCGAGGATAGATACAAATAAAAGATTAAGACACATCAAATGTGTGCAAGCGCAATCATTGCAACGTATTTTGTCAAAGTACACAACAGATCAACTTCATCAAACGACTCTATTTGAACGTTTTAAGAGATTGGAGAATATGCGCATCGCGCAAAACGCGGTGCAATGGTAAACTGAATTAAAGAGAAAGACTGGTCAAATTAAAATACTATGTTAGCTATAAGATTTTACTAATTTGATCCTCTCTGCTCCGCTACGTCCAATCCCAGATTCCAATAATGTCCCGTCATTTCTCCGGGAAAAAGAGAATGCGGACAAAATACTTGGAGCAGCTTAAAAACCCCCATCGGATTCGCATCTTACCTCAATCGGACTGATCGGGGTGGACGGCAACGGCTGAAGATATTCAGGGTGTAAAATGTGTCCTGTGCGTGCGGTAAGCATTTTCAAAATCTTTATGGGAAGTCGGTTAGCTTGCCGTAAAGGGTCCGAAGGAGGGACGTAACGGAGAAAAGGCTTGCTGACGAGCGCGGAGTTGTTATTCCTGCTGCTGCTGCTGCTGCTGCTGCTTCCCCAGACGAGATCAGTATCACGATTTCTTGAAGCAGAAGCAGAGGGCGATGTGATCATGACCCAATTCTCATGTATTCGGTTGGTATTTCATCGATCAGATTCATAAATAAAAAACTACGCCGTGATCTTCTTTCGAATAGCAGAAATACAGATAAATAGTATAATCCGTCTGGAGCAGAGGAGAGCGCGAGGCTATCTCAGATCCGGAGCCGCGTGTGACACCACAGGCATAGCGCGCGCTCTGTCTCTTCCCGTAGGTCCGCGCGCTTGTCCTCCCAAACCAAGAACTAGTAGAAATGTTCACTTCAAAAGCAGCTGAATTAGTCCGAGATTAAAGCCCTTGCCGCCTTCCAATCAAATGGGACCCCGAGGTGATTGGAGGGTCAAGGGGATGTGACGTTCCTCCTTCTGCAAGCGCCTCTATTTTGACAACTTGGGGGAGGAGATTTTGCTCAATATGTAGGTTGTCGTACACGCCGCTGTCTGTGTCAATTTTTTATTTATTTAAAATGCTCGTTATTCATTTTCACGAGCAGATTGCCTCGGAGTTGCCATCTTTTTAAAGTGTGAAACAAATAATTCCCTCTCATAGCGTTATCCTTCGACTCATTTTTTTAAGGCTTTTTATAAGAGTAAGCCTCGCTTTTTATTGATGATAATTAACACCACCAACAAAAACAGAAGTAAAACATGAAAGTTTTGGGGATTCTTTTTT